CCGCGCGGGCGTCCCTGCCTGCACCGCGCGGCACGGTCCCCGGTGACCGTGCAGACTTGCGCGCGAGCACAGGGTAGCCGTACGCGTGTGGCTGAAGCCTGTCGCCTCAGGGACTGCAGCGCCCGGCTCTGTTCCGCCTTCGGCTCCGGCCAAGCATCGCCAGGGGGGCTTTTGGCCTGAGGGGGCCTCGCAGGTGGCCTTCAGGGGAAGCGACCACCCAGCGCTGCCGTGCTCACCTGCGCGCCTGAACGCAGTCATTGCCTCCATGACTGCAGCCTTCAGGTTGAAGGCCCCAGCCTGTGCCCCGTGCCACAGCATCGCGAACTCCCCGGACACGTGGTACACTGCCAGCGGATGGGTGGGATGCTGAGAACAACAGCAAGGAGATCAGCAGGATCCCAGGGAACAACCCGCTTGGGTCTGTTCAGCCACCCGGGGCACAGAGGGGGGAACTCCAGCCTCGCGGCTGTGCAGCTTCCCCTCCCCGAGCGCTCCAGCACCAAAGCTGTGATCCAGGAGGGGAGCATGGAGGCTGCCCGGGAGGTGCTCTACTGCCCAAATGCAACGTGTTAAACCAAGAAGGGGTTGCATCCCCTCCGCTTTTGGAATGATGTCGCTGGCTAACCCAAATCTGCATCTCTCCTCCATCTCCTCCTAATCTCTGGGGATACTCAGTGCCCTCATTCATGAACAGAGAAACATGCAGGGCTTACTCGGGCCTTGACATCCCTCACGAGGTCCAGGTAAGGCATCCCAGGTTTCACCATCAGCATATCTGCTCCCTCACGCACATCCCGGTCCTGTGAGGAGAACACACACCTGATCCCTGCAGCTCTGGGTAAAAGAACATTTTCCAGGGAGCGTTCAGTTGGTTTTCCCAAAAGTTTTAACCCAGAATTTGGTTTTCCCAGAAGCACACCGTCACAAGAGGGGTTTGGCAAGCCTCTAAAGGCCACAGGACGCCATGGGCACGCTGCAATCGGAGATACGATGCTCCCCACACCAGAAGTGCCGCGCCTGGGAAAAGCTGGTAGCTGCCTGCCGTTCAGAGCCACAGGAGAAAGCAGTGGGGTATGGCATCACCAACTCCGTCGTTGCTAATGCGCACCCCTTGGGCCCACGCTGGGGATCAGCTCTCCAGTAAGCTGATGGGCATTCGTGTTTCGCTAGCTTGTGGAGGGGGACAGCCTCAGCCATTTCGGGCTGGCATGCCTCTCACCTCCTTCTGCCTCAAACGCATTTGGGCTTGCTTTCCCCAAACCCTTTTGTGTTGCTGTGTGTGAAGGCTTCTCACCCCGTCACCGTGCAAGGGCAGTTTGCCAGTCCCCACGGCTATAAAAGCATGACGCTGACACAGGCTCGGGCAGGCAGGCCCCTGGCCCGCTAGCCCAGCGCTGGGCAGGGCTCACTCACCACGGCTCGCACGGCCAGGCCCCTGGCACCCGGAGGCAGCTGGTAACATCGCCTGTCTCCAAACGCAGGTTTGGATAGCGCAGCATCTCTGGGAACAAGGCAGCGGACAGGAAATCAGCAAAGCATCGACACGGTTCCCTGGGCCTCTCACCCCGTACTGCTTCAGAAATGCGAAGACGACTGGAACAAGTGTCTGAGCTGCTTCCTCCTTCTTCCCCATCCAGCCCAGGAAGGGGTGGGCTGTCCTAACCCACCTCACCCCCTTGTATTGCCCTGAGCCATTACAAACCCAGGAGCTCCAACAGGCCCAACTTGTTGCTTGCTGGCAGTCCCCGCAAGCAGAAAAAACATGTTTCACAGAGGAGCGGCCAGTGTGGACACAGCCGTGGCTTAGACTCTGGGCTGAGCCCTGTTCCCTAATACACACCTGGGGACACACCTTCTGGCCAGCCTGGTGCTGGCTGAGGGATGCTCCTTCCAGAGAGACTCACCTGAAGGGACCGTAAAAACAGGATGCAAACTTGGCACTGTAGCTCATCACTGAGACCTGCAGAGGAGAGTGGAGCCGTGAGGACCAGAGGCGTTTTGTTGCATCCCAGCTCTAGAGCAAGAGCGATTACCTCCTACAGCTGTTTTGTATTCAGCCCCACACCCTCCTCCCCTGCCAGGCCCCTCACTTTCTCCATGCATCTGGCCAAGGGCATTTCCTTCCTGCATGCACTGGCGCAGGGAACCCCCTGTGACGCATCCTGTGGAAGGTGGAGCCTCACTTCTTCCAACATTTGCCCAGGTCACTTCACAGTGCAGCCTCCGTATGGGCCCCACGGAAGTCGCTCCTGACCTTGGCACACGCAGATCCCATGCTCACCTTGTTGCCCATGTCACTGGAGATCAGCGCCTTCTTCATAGCCGCGATGCGCCCATCCATCATGTCTGAGGGGGCAACGATGTGGCAGCCTGCAGGGAGAGACCATAGACACCGAGAACTGCCTGAGGCTGTAACAGTGCCAAGAGCCCAAGCTCACTCTGGCAAGTACCATTCAGCAAACCTGGAAAAATTTTCCATTCCTGCAGGAGGTGACCCCAGAGCATCTCCTGTCAGAGGGCTGAAGGGGTGGGTCTAGGATGCTTGCAACTTTGCTGGGGCCAGTGCACTGAGGGCAGGTGGAGCCCTTCCCAGCTCAGAGCACAAGCACTCCCAGCTGGAGCCAGGCATAGTTTGCTTTTGGGTCTGCTGTAAGCAAAAAGGGGCAAATTTGCAAGACTCAAACTTGGATACCTCTGCCAGGAGACTCCTCACCTGCCTTGGCATAAGCCAGTGACACTTCTGCTAGCCGCTGGCAACTGAGTTCATTCTGGATGGTGCCATCTTCACGCAGGATGCCTAGGAGAACGAACCTGGGCTTAGGCAGGGTAGGGGACAGCCTGCCTATTGCCTCTCTCCCTAGGGTGGGAGCATGGCTCTCAGGGCTATTCACACATGCCCAAAAAGAATTACAGAGATGCTCTGAACAATGGTGGGAACTGTGTTAGAGAGCTGGGTAAGGAGGTGCAGTGACCAGGAGAGCAATGTCACAGCACTCCAGGGACCAAGCTCAACACATGCATTCTCCAGGAAGAGAAGACAGAGATGGGGGGCCTAGATGGGTGCTCAGGTGACTCTCAGCTGACCAGGGAGTGGGTGACTCTGCTTCTCCCATTGCTGCAGGCGCCTTCCCCACTCTAGCTGGCTGCTCTCATAACCCAGCTCACATAACCCAGTCACCCCAGGCTCAACGCAATGGCATCCAGTACCTGGAGCCAAGTCAACTTGCAGAAGAAGCTGGCCAGACCCACCAGCACCCATCGCTCCTCAGCAGAAAACAGCAAGCCCCCAGAGGCTCCCAGTCACAGGAAAGTGCCACTGCAGAAAGGTGTGTGAATAACACCCGTGGGCCCCCACGCTGTGAACTCACCACAGTGCCCATGGGATGTGTAAGGGCACAGGCAGACATCACAGGCGATGAGCAACTCTGGGAAGATGGAGCGGATTTTTTTGATTGCCTGAATGGCAGGTGTGTCCTCCGCATCCGCGGCAGAGCCTCTCTCATCCTGTGAGAGAAGATAAACGCCTCTGCACACAGAGCCAAGGGCTTCCCATGCCCTCTCTGTACTAGCCCCTCTGTGGCAGTTTTCTGCCCAAGAAATGTTTTCTGAACTGTAAGACCCTCTGGTGTAGAGTGGTGTGATCACCAATGATGGAAAAGGGCAGTGGAGCTTCTAGTAATGACTGCAGTTCTCAGGAGCACCCAGCAACAGCTCCCAATGCAAGACTAGATCAAGAAAAACAATTTTCTCAAGTCATCCATCCTGCTTTCTGCAGAGCTCCCCTGTTAGCCACCAAGCAGTGTTATACCATGTGTTCAAAGGGACAGCACCCAGAGCCACCAGGAGCCTTATAGGTGTCACTGCAGTCTCCCATCTCTATCCCACTCTGCTGAGTTGAGCACAAGCATGCCCAGACACCCTGAGCCTCCCGTGTTTTGTCGGGAGACCCTCCCAGACCCCACACTGCTCTCCCACACACCTCTGTGGCTACCCGAAACCTGCTCCCACCACCTGCTAATGCACACTGACCTTGGGGACCTTGCTGGGCACCCCAAAGATGAGCACACACTTCAGGCCGTCCTCGACAAGGGGGCGCAGCAGCCCCTCCAGCTTGTTGACTCCATACCTGGGAAGAGCAAAGTGAAGCAGGGCTGCCAGGCACCCAGCCCTGCTCTCCTGGCCAGGGACTATGCTTCAGTCTGGCTACACGAGCTCCCTGGAGATCCCACAGCACAGCTACGAAGCAGGGGGACTGCTCATACATGGGAGCTGGGGTGACTGAGCAGGGCGCTGCCACAAACCGCTCTCCTCAGTACTGTGCTCAGACCCACCTTCCCAGGACCCTGAACTTGCAGTGCGGAGCCCCAGCTGGGCCCACCTCCAGGCTGCTCACGAGCAAGCTCCAGAGGCAGCATAGAGCCCGATGTGTGCTGCCCTGCAGGGAGGTTTCAAAAGCTGTCACATGCTTCAGCTTTGGGACTGGCTCCTGGCATCGGCCTAGCCATCGTGGCTGATGCATGGCTGCTTGGAGCTGTGGCCCAGCAAAATCACCATGAATACATCCAGTTCAAACACACAACCCTCCAACCTGACCAGCGCTTGGGCACTCAGGCGGTTGTTTGCGGGGCCACCGCCTGCCTGCTGGGCCACTCAGATGGACCTCGGTTCATCATTAACTCAGATGCCAGTCTGTACGCACCAAGCAGCAGCTGGAGAAACAGAGGTGTTGCCCGAACACTGAGAGGAACAATCCAGGGCCTTATCTGGGGCTACAGGAGAGTTATCTACTGGGCAGGGACACAGAGGGGGCTGGGTCCTGCTCTCTCTCTGCTCCAAGAGGAGGAGTGCACCTTGCTCTTGGATCCCTTATCTCAGCTTTCCCTTTTCAGCCCTGAGCAAGTCATGCTGGGCTCAGCATGGGGAGCTGGGGTGCAAGGTGAGGTGCTAGAGTGGCACAGGCACTCTGCCATGGGCTCTCTTCTTGCACAACTGGTGCTAGTAGGGCTAAGTGCTGAAGGCCAGCAGGCCAGACAGAACGCTCCTGGCCGCAAGGTCCTTGGCATGACTTGGCTGAGGTGCAGTGGGTGCCCTTCCCACCCTGATCTGCCTCCTGCCACCCAAAACCAGAGATTTTATTTGGAAAACCTGCCCTATACAAGGGAAATCCAGCCCACCTCCCCACAGGAATATTCCCCTCTGGCCCCTCTGACCACAAGCCTAATGCAGCAGCAGATGGAGATAGGAGCTACCAGTCCCACAAGATCCACAGCAGGACAAGAGCCCATGCCTTTGCAGGTTTTCCACATGCTGCTGGAAACCCTGTTCTCTGCCAACTTCTCTGCATGCCTAGCCCACACAACACGTGAGTGCTCCGGGGCATCGTGAGACCCTGGTACTATCCCTGCTAGCACCCGCTGAAGGCAGCATGTCCAATTTGGTTCCCTTCCCTTGCTCAGTAGGCAAATGCTCCCACCTTGCCCGATTCTGAGGGATCTGCAAGCCAGGGACTATAGAGGGATGGAAGTGTCATCCCCTGGTCCTGGCCTGTGCTCACCACAGGCCGCACTTCAGCCCTGTTTGGGGCATGGCAGAGATTGGCACACAGCTCAGGGAGTCTGGATTCCTACCTGGCTTGTCCGGGGAGGCTGGCGATTGGCTCCACTGCATCAGGGCTGTCACTGCAGAAGTTGGATGGGACAGAGATGTGAGGACTTGGCACGACAAGGAAGATCAGAGGTAGGCTGTGCCCAAAGAACCCAGTTTCGCTCCCAGATGTTCACGCTACCACATCCTGGCCTGCTTCCAGGGAATCGTTCAGGGAGCCTGAAGCTCCCCAAGAGCTTAGGGAGTGCCTAACATTGTAGCCCCAATCATACACAGCCTTAGTTTGGTTTATCCCTAACCCAGAGAGCCAGGGCTCACTCACGTGACAAAAATGGGGTAGATGAGGTTGGAAGCATCGAAGGTGGTTGCTGAACACTGCCAGGAGCGTAGCACGGGGTGGAAGTAGCCACTGTGGAGAAGGGACTCTGCCTGCATCTTGGGAATTCACAAGGAGACTGTGAAAGGAGAGCCTGAAATACCAAAAGAAATAGGCAGGTTAGTGGCTGTGTCCTGGCAAGTCACTGCTACCAGCTAGCAGAGGGAGCAGGCGGAGATCCATGGGGGAGCCCCAGCCCAGCCAGGTTCTGTCAAAGAGCCACTTCTCACACTGAGCCTGACCGTCCCAGGGCCTGCCCCGCACTGCAGTAGGTGCTGGGAGACCCAGCACCAGCGATCATGGCACGACACTTCCCCGTAAGCGGGGAGGATGCCAACTTCTCCCCACAAAACCCACCAATTTTGTGCATGAAACCAGCAATTTACAGGCATAAACATCATCCTATAGCAGGAACCACGTTCTTCTCCCACGTTCAAAACTACCCTGCAGCACGTCCAGGCTCGGCACTCCAGCAAGGGGGGCACAGAGCAGGCTGGAGCAGTCCACCCCTCATACACGCAGTGCTGGGGAAACACCATGGCCAGGCCAGTGCAGCTGCTGATCACTGAAAAAGCTCTTTCATCGCTCTGGATGTGCTTGTACCAAACACCTTTTGCCTTGGCAGATACCAGTCTGAGACTAGCCGGCTCCTCTGCTGCCAGCCCAGCTGTCCCCTAGCCTGGGAATCCCAGCTGCTAGACTCAGCTGATGATTGCCAAAGGAAAGGAAGAACATAACAACTCCACATGCTTTTTTAGTCTGCTATCTGGTGAGCTGCAGCTGGGCAGCAGCTCTGAATCCCCTGGGGCATCTGCTTCCCGGGCTGTGCGGGGGTGAAACAGGATTCTCTAGCCCTGTAGCCCAGTAAATACACTACGGCCTTTGCTAATACCACACCACGGGCTTTGTACCAGCTCTGCAAGGCCTTGGGACTTGCCAGGCTTTGGGGCTTTGTTTTAGCTTCTTTAGCTGTAATAGTAATTGTCTAAAGATGAGATGGTCATTGCTTAATTTGTGTTACTTAACTGTATAATTTTGTGATATAACTTTTCTATACAGAGCAGTAACAAGTTGTTCAGTGTAGAATGAAGTATTTATGGCCGTAGCGTAATGGTGTGGTCACAGAAGAGTACAGGCACAGGACGATCCTGAAGACACCAGGGCTATAACCAACTCACTAGGTGGTCACTTACTGCTGGATAAAGAAACGCAGACTTGGGAGTTGGGCACAACTGATTTTAGGTGTAACAAAGAACCTACATTCAACCTACATAAACCACATCATACACAGTAGGCTTGGACACAACAAAGAATTGCTACGCATTAAGAAAGAGCAAGGCACAGAGCACGCTGGAAAACATCAAAATAGCCTCAAGGGGCCTTTAAAGAGAGGAGAGAGAAACAACCAACATCAAAACTATGCTGCTCCTGGCAAAAAGGAGGAGGAACCCTCCACCACGAACTCTGAGCTCCTGCAGGACTCACTGGAACACTCTCTGCCGGCTGAAACTGAGACTTTGGGACTCAGAGGGACAACGGAAGAGGGGGGAGGGCAGAGAGAGGGGCAGACGTTAGGAAGCAAATGCACAACAATTTTAGCTTTATTAGCGTTGAAAATTCTGCAAGTATTTTCTTTTTCTATAATAATTAGACCTAGCTAATAATAATTCTCTGATTAGACAGATAAGATTCCAATTTCACTAACGGCAAATTCTTGGCTTTGCTTCTAAGGAGCACTCCCCTTTGCCAATAATAAAATTTTGGGTGTAACATTTGGTTGGCGAGACTGCGACTGAAGGAGCCTGGAGGGGAAGGCTGCACTTTCCCCCAGGACCAGGCGCTTGGCTGCAGCGCAGCAGCAGCTATTACAGCCAGGACGCCCTGGAAACTACAACCTGAAAACACTGTTTATTCAGAGCGGCCTCAAGGACTTCTGCTGGCTGCACACGCTGCTCCAGAGAGCCGATCCGCTGAGCCTCCGGCCATGGGGCAGCTGCCGTGGGACAAGCAGAAGCCGCCGCTCTCCCGCTGCCGCCTGCGGGGAGGGATTCCTGCTCCATCTCGGTGCACAGCACTAAGCGGCAGTGCCAGGCACCCTCAGGCCTCTGCCCACGCAGCGCCATATCCCACAGATGCCTGTGGTCAGACAAGCCCAAAAACGCAGCACGAGCGAGGTTATCGTCCACTGACAGCGCCCCAGGCCTGAGGTGACTCTGGCCGCCTCGCTGCTCTGTGGCCAGGCTCCTCGTACCACGCTGCGGAGCGACCGTCTCTTGTTCCCAGGGTCACCGTTCGCAGCACCGCAGGAGTTCGTGCCTCCGGGTCGGTGCCAGGCGCAGAGCTACGGAGCCGCTGTGGGAGAACGTGGAGCCCAGCCAGCTCCCCGGGCAGAGGTCGGAGCGCGTTTCCCAATGCCGCTAGGTTTCACGCTCCTCTAGTATGCGAGAGGACTGTCCTCCAGAAATGATTAACAAAGTTCCTAGTGGACATGAGGGATTCTGTTTTCAGAGCTCAGAGTTGAAGGATGTGGATGGGGGAAGATTCAGAGATTTACTTCCGAGATTCCTCAGCCTGGCACCCCCCCCGCCCAGTCCAGGACTGCACCTTACAGAGAAGATCCTTCAGATCCCCTTCTAACACAACTGTGACCCATCTCCGGGGAGCAGCCCTTGGTCCCCAATCCCATCACAGCCTTCCCATGCACCGGCTGAAATCCAAGAACCAGGAGCGATTCCTCCAACGATCTAAATCTTGCTGACCCCTCCAACCTGTGCCTACTGCGCCCAGCTCACTCCAGAAAACAGAAATATTTGTTAGCTTTCCAGGACCGCAGTCCAGAGAAGAGTTTTACACTTGCACTTGCTACACCAGTCAACAATGGAGTTGGGCAGGAAAAGCCTCCATTCTTCTTAAAAGCCTTCAACTTTGAAGTGTTTTTCTATTCTGCACGGGGATAAACTCAAGACCTTTCAAACAATTTCAATGTTAATCCAAATTGTCAGTCTGCATCAGGCTAGCCCGGTGCCTAGGGCGCTCACCTATAACGCAGGAACACCACATTCGGCCCAGGGCTTGAATCGAGTCGCCCGCGTCCCTCGCAATTGCCTGTGTTTGGGGCTGGGGGCAAAGGCTCAGTGACTTCTTGTTTATATATATAAACAAACACTGAACGGATCCCATTGACCAAATACGCTGGTGCTCGCGTGGGAAGCAGCCCACCTAGCAGGCATGCTGGCAGTGCCACTGCATCACTTAGGAGATAATTTTTAGATCTGGAAAGCTGCCACTCACTCGTTCCTCACACCCGAGGAGACAGCCTTGTGG